ACATGATGACCGACAAGTGTGGCAGGCCGCAGGCGAATGTGATGCTGGTCAATGACACCGGCGCAGTGTTCGTCGAGAGTATTGACTGCAAGATGGAGAAAAAGACCGGGGGATACATCGCCCGGCTCCTCCGGCCCATCCTGCAAAAGGTTGGGGTCGAGAACATCGTGGCATTCTGCACCGATGGCGGCAGCAACTACCACAGCGCCTGCCGGCTCCTCATTGCAGAGAATCCGCGCATCGAGCATGTGCCGTGTGCGACGCACGTGCTCGACCTCCTTATGGAGGATGTGGGACGGCAGGCTTGGGCCAAGGAGGTAGTGGGGCGGGCGAGCGAGCTCATCAACTACACCCGCAGCCACCATTGGACCCGACAGTATCTCAGGGGTGTGGACGGAGGGAAGGGGCTGCAGATGCTGAGGCCGGCGGGGACCAGGTTTGGGACGCAGCACATTGCTGTGTCCCGCCTGGTGGAGTTGCGGTCAACGCTGGTGACCATGGTGCTCTGCGATGCATGGAAGGCGGAGTGGGCGGTGGGCCCAAAGAAGGCAGCTGCAGAGACATTCCACGACCAGATCATGGATAAGGACTGGTGGCCAGCGGCTGAGCTCTTCAAGAGGCTACGAAAGGGATGATGGGCCGCATCTATGAGCTGATGCTTGAGCTCACTGTGAATGTGGCAGAACTGCTGAAGGAGGAGGGGGATGGGGTGCTGAGTGCGGGAGACAAGAAGGGCGTCAATGAGATTGTGAAGTGGCGTTGGGATGAGAGTATGGCTTGCCCACTGCACGTGGTCGGGCGGATTCTTAACCCGGTCAACCAGGAGGAGCGGATTTTTGGGCCGGACACGGAGTGCACCAATGTGTTCAGAGCTTTCATTGCCCGCCACTATGGCGGGGTGATGATTCCCCAGAGGGATGGCCTGCCCAAGCGTGCCACACTCCTCCTGCAGTAAGGGTTGGCCGCCTTTCTGAAGTTGAGGGGCAGCTTCGGCACGGCTGAGGCCATCAGTGACCGGAAGTTGGTGAAGGAAGGAAGTTATTCCATGGAGGCGTGGTGGGAGTGGCAACGGCACTGACCACCCTTGCTCATGGCCCTTGCTTGCCGAGTGCTAACTCAGCCGGTGTCTGCATCCAGCTGCGAGCGCAACTGGGCGGTGTGGGATACTGTCCACACCGCCCGACGCAACCGGCTGGGTTCAGAAAAGTGCAAGGATCTGGTTAACGTTGCGCACAACTGGAAGGTTGTGCACAACTGGCACATAGCCGACGAGGGGGCGGGGGTGGTGTCCGGTAACATCCCGGACGCCCCCGTCCCTGCGGGGTACAGGGTGGATCGGGAGGAGGAGGATGAGGAGGGCGAAGATGAGGAGCTGCTGGACGAGTACCTGTAGAGCAGAGCAGGAGAGGGTAAGGCGGGCGGTTTGGGGGAGGCTTACCTGAGATGGGTGGTTGGCTGGTTGTTGGAGTTTGGAACCCTTGACATGCCCTTGGTGGCTTGAACTATTTATTTATTACCATGCTAAATGATGCCACATTTGGTGGGGGGAATTTGGTGCTCTGAACCCCCCCTCTTCCCTCCCCAAACAGGTTTTTTTTACCCCTGCCCGAGTTGTTTTTATACCTGCCCGCCAGAGCGTATTTCCTAGCGTATCCAATCCCATAATGAAGCGTACAGCGTAATAACGCTAGCGTATTATAATACACTTGCGTATAATACGCTGGACGCGTATTTCTCCACTTAGTTCACCACCCCCATTCACCACCCCCATTCACTACCCCCATTCACCACACCCATTCACCACCCCCATTCACCACCCCCATTCACCATCCCCATTCAAACACCCATTCACCACCCCATTCACCACACCATTCACCCACCCATTCACACACCCATTCACCATCCCATTCACAACACCCATTCACCACCCCATTCACCACCCCCATTCACCACCCCATTCACCACGCCCATTCACCACGCCCATTCACCACGCCCATTCACCACACCCATTCACCACACCCATTCACCACACCCATTCACCATTCCCATTCACAACACCCATTCACCACCCCCATTCACCACCCCCATTCACCACACCCATTCACCACCCCATTCACCACACCCATTCACCATCCCCATTCACAACACCCATTCACCACCCCCATTCACCACACCCATTCACCACACACCATTCACCACACCCATTCACCATTCCCATTCACAACACCCATTCACCACCCCATTCACCATCCCCATTCACAACACCCATTCACCACCCCCATTCACCACCCCCATTCACCACACCCATTCACCACCCCCATTCACCACCCCCATTCACCACCCCCATTCACCACCCCATTCACCACCCCCATTCACCACCCCCATTCACCACCCCATTCACCACCCCCATTCACCACCCCCATTCACCACCCCCATTCACCACCCCCATTCACCACCCCATTCACCACCCCCATTCACCACCCCCATTCACCACCCCATTCACCACCCCCATTCACCACCCCCATTCACCACCCCATTCACCACCCCCATTCACCACCCCATTCACACCCCATTCACCACCCCATTCACCACCCCATTCACCACCCCATTCACCACCCCCATTCACCACACCATTCACCACACCATTCACCACCCCCATTCACCACCCCCATTCACCACCCCCATTCACCACCCCATTCACCACCCCCATTCACCACCCCATTCACCACCCCCATTCACCACCCCCATTCACCACCCCCATTCACACACCCATTCACCACACCCATTCACCACACCCATTCACCATCCCCATTCACAACACCCATTCACCACCCCATTCACCACCCCCATTCACCACCCCCATTCACCACCCCATTCACCACCCCATTCACCACCCCCATTCACCACCCCCATTCACCCCACCATACCACATTACACCCCATTCACCACACCCATTCACCCCCCCATTCACTCACCCCCGTTCACACACCCCCATTCACCACCCCCATTCACCACCCCCATTCACCACCCCTTCACCACACCCATTCACCACCCCATTCACCACCCCCATTCACCACACCCATTCACCACCCCCATTCACCACCCCATTCACCACCCCCATTCACCACCCCCATTCACCACCCCCATTCACCACCCATTCACCACCGCCATTCACCACCCCCATTCACCACCCCCATTCACCACGCCCATTCACCACACCCATTCACCACCCCCATTCACCACCCCCATTCACCACCCCATTCACCACCCCCATTCACCACCCCCATTCACCACCCCCATTCACCACCCCCATTCACCACCCCCATTCACCACCCCCATTCACCACCCCATTCACCACCGCCATTCACCACCCCATTCACCACCCCCATTCACCACGCCCTTCACCACCCCCATTCACCACCCCCATTCACCACCCCATTCACCACCCCCATTCACCACACCCTTCACCACCCCCATTCACCACCCCCATTCACCACCCCCATTCACCACCCCATTCACCACCCCATTCACCCACCCCATTCACCACCCCATTCACACCCCATTCACCACCCCCATGCACCACCCCCATTCACCACCCCCATTCACACCCCCATTCACCACCCCCATTCACCACCCCATTCACCCCCATTCACCACCCCATTCACCACCTCCCATTCACCACCCCCATTCACCACCCCCATTCACCACCCCCATTCACCACCCCCATTCACCACCCCCATTCACCACCCCATTCACCACCCCCATTCACCACCCCCCATTCACCACCCCCATTCACCACCCCCATTCACCACCCCCATTCACCACCCCATTCACCACCCCCATTCACCACCCCATTCACCACCCCCATTCACCACCCCCCATTCACCACCCCCATTCACCACCCCCATTCACCACCCCCATTCACCACCCCCATTCCCACCAACCCCATTCGCCACCCCCATTCCACCCACCCCCCATTCACCCCCATTCACCACCCCATTCACCACCCCCATTCGCCACCCCATTCACCACCCCCATTCGCCACCCCCATTCACCACCCCCATTCACCACCCCCATTCACCACCCCCATTCACCACCCCCATTCACCACCCCCATTCACCACCCCCATTCACCACACCCACCTCGTTCTTTCGCAACATCCTTGGCAGCATGTTTATCTCCGTTTGAATGCACGGCACTTCCCCTTGCTAGGCCCTGCGTCTGTACTCCTCATCTCCGCTTCCTTTCCCTCCCCATCCTCCCCATGTCTGCTCCCATGCCTGCGCCCATGCCTGCTCCCATGCCTGCTCCCATGCCTGCTCCCATGCCTGCTCCCATGCCTGCTCCCATGCCTGCTCCCATGCTTCCGCCCATTCCTGCTTCCATGCCTGCCCCCATACCTGCTCCCATGCCTGCCCCCATGCCTGCTCCCATGCCTGCGCCCATGCCTGCTCCCATGCCTGCTCCCATGCCTGCTCCCATGCCTGCTCCCATGCCTGCGCCCATGCCTGCTCCCATGCCTGCTCCCGTGCCTGCTCCCATGCCTGCTCCCATGCCTGCTCCCATGCCTGCTCCCATGCCTGCTCCCATGCCTGCTCCCATGCCTGCTCCCATGCCTGCTCCCATGCCTGCTCCCATGCCTGCTCCCATGCTTGCGCCCATTCCTGCTTCCATGCCTGCCCCCATACCTGCTCCCATGCCTGCCCCCATGCCTGCTCCCATGCCTGCTCCCATGCCTGCTCCCATGCCTGCTCCCATGCCTGCGCCCATGCCTGCTCCCATGCCTGCTCCCGTGCCTGCTCCCATGCCTGCTCCCATGCCTGCTCCCATGCCTGCTCCCATGCCTGCTCCCATGCCCGCTCCCCTTTCGGCTCCTCGTTCCCACTGCCCCCTTTGCTACTACCTGTCCACTTGTGCTTCAGCATCCCGCATGGCCCACCCCTCGTTCTCTCCCCCCGTTACTGTCTGTGCCTCACTCTCCCCGTTGTTCTCCTCTCCAGGGAGTTCCCGTCCAACAAGATGTCAGACCTATCGCTTCTCCAGGGTACTGCCTTCGGTAGCCTATTGAAACTGTACGCAAGACAACCTGCTGCTTCCGTCTGCTTTCTCGCAAGCCTGAAGAAACGCTCTGTGTATTGTATGCAGCAGCAGGATGTGGGCGGTGCTGTGGCTCGCTCCGTATCATGTGACACGGAAAAAGGCGCTTTCTTTTCGTTCCCACTCTCTTGCCTTGCAATTCTGTGCGGCTTTGCCTGCCCAATCTCTTTACCCTTCCACACATGTCCATCACCACATCCCACCACATCCCACCACATCCCACCACATCCCACACCCTCTCATTCTCATGCCCATTTGTCTCTGCCTGCAATTTCAAGGCGCTTCAGAATCTGACCCCCGATGGTTGGCTGCATCTGTCTGCTTCTGCACTGCATGCAGGAACCTGAGCTCGAACCCTCTCGAGACTGACAGCCTCTCACGTCTGAACAACCTCAGTGGACTCACATCGCTGTGAGTTGGTATCCCTCAGCAGCGTTAGGGTGTACGAATTGAGCATGCATGTTCCCACCTCCTCCATGCACAGTAGCATATTCGGCATGCATGCATGCGGCTACCCGAGTCACATGCTGCGCCGTGTGCTGCTTCCATTCCCCAAGCTCATGTCGGTGTTGCTGCTCTCGCTGTGTGCGGGGGTATGCCATGGCATGTACGCACAGGGATATGTCACGCACTCGGTTGCAGGGCGACCAACTACTCCAGGGGCTGAGCCTTCCCAAATTGCAATTCCTGTAAGTCCATAGAGAACTATGGTTGTCGGAGCCAGCCCCTCCCTTGCTAGAGATGATACAAGCGATTTGCAGAAGCCTGGCTCCTGAATCTAGTCCGGTCTATGAGCTAGCACATGCCTGGAATGCTGCCTGGAATGCAGCTTTCTGGGCGCTGCTCATGTGTGTGAAGAGCATACACCATCTCGTGCCCGTTTCAGTTCCCCCTTTTTTTTGCCCTGCAGGGTATACATAGCTGCGCATGTCGTCTTGGTTAGTGTCAGGCGTTATCCGTTGTTGTGCATCCCTTGTTTCAAGGCCATGGTACATGCTCCGTATTCTGCCGACCTCCCCATGCCTCCCTCTCATCTCATGCAATGCTTCTGCCTCCCTCTTTGCCCTCCTGGCTCCAGGGATCTCTCGAATAACCGTGTCAGGGGCTCTCTCCCTGAATCCCTCACAACCTTGACGTCCTTGATCGCCCTGTGGGTCCCTTAGGCGTCCCTCTCTGTGATGCCTTGGCTCGCCTTCTGTCACCTCATGCTTCTGCTGACTCGGCCACAGTTGAAGGTCACCTGGGACTTTCACCCGAGCGAGCCAAAACATATTCGTGTGCTTAGGGCGTGGTACATACAATCACGAACGGAGCACCGTTCGAACGGTACAGAAATCTAGAGAACGGTTTTGGTGTGTTTCAGCTAGATACTCGCGTGGGACAGTGTGTTTGAGTCACGTGATTGGAAAGTCGTGATCGTATGTACCACGCCCTTAGCTGGATAGATTAGAAACCTTGCTGGCGAACCCCTCGCTGTTACCAGGGCCTTTTTCTTTGCGAAATCTTTTTGTTTACTTGCTGAATATGTTCTTCCTTTTCTACTGCTGCCATTTCTCCATGCCGGCGACCAGGAATATCTCCAATAACCAGCTCAGTGGCTCCATCCCCGAGTCTCTCACAACCGTGACAACCCTGGTCAGCCTGTGCGTCCCCTTTCCTTTCTCCCTGTGGCTTGTCTGGGTGTCGCTTTGGCTCGTCTTGTGTCCCCTTCAGCCAATTTATCCTGGCGTGTTAGCACACTTGTTTAAAGATAAAATGTGTGTATTCTGCTTCTATTGTTCTGGCTGCTCTCTTGGTCATTGCCTTTGCTGCTCGCGACACTCCTGCCGTTTCATTCTACTTGTGAGGGTGGTGGTGGTGGTGTTTGTGCCTCTCCCATGCCCTCCCACACCTAGCTTGCATGTGATGTGAGCATGGTTGTCGCACAGTCACTCTTTCACTATCTCCCCCTCCTTCACTCCCGTCCCCTCGCCCTGCTGTCACCACCTCTTCCCTTGCCCTTCAATTCTTCTCTCTTGCTCGGCGCCTGTCCCACAGCTCATGGCTTCCGTACCTTCCTTGATTCCCACTCGTACCTCCTGTGTTTCCCACCCGTACCTCCCGTGTTTCCCACCCGTACCTTCCCACGTGGTGCAGGAAAGTGAACTCTAACCCGATGGAAGGAACTATCCCACCGTCCTTTGGAAGCCTGACCGCTCTCTCACTGCTGTGAGTGCTCCTGTACATGCTGACCCCACACAAGACGCACGCATCGGTGGTTCTGCATGCAAGTAAGGTTTCCTTCCTGAATGGGGACACATGAGCATCTTTAAAAGTCCTCCCTCCCTCCCTCCCTCCCTCCCTCCCTCCCTCCCTCCCCTCCCTCCCTCCCCTCCCTCCCTCCCTCCCTCCCTCCCTCCCTCCCCTCCCTCCCTCCCTCCCTCCCTCCCTCCCTCCCTCCCTCCCTCCCTCCCTCCCTCCCTCCCTCCCTCCCTCCTCCCTCCCTCCCTCCCTCCTCCCTCCCTCCCTCCCTCCCTCCCTCCCTCCCTCCCTCCCTCCCTCCCTCCCTCCCTCCCTCCCTCCCTCCCTCCCTCCCTCCCTCCCTCCCCTCCCTCCCTCCCTCCCTCCCTCCCTCCCTCCCTCCCTCCCTCCCTCCCTCCCTCCCTTCATCCCTCCCTTCATCCCTCCCTCCCTCCCTCCCTCCCTCCCTCCCTCCCTCCCTCCCTCTCTCCCTCCCTCCCTCCCTCCCTCCCCGTGCCCCTACCAGGGCCGCCAGCCGCACGAACCTCACGTGCCCTGCCAACCACAGCAGCTGTGGCGTGCACCAGAGCTCCTCCACTGGCTTCTGCCGCACATGCCCTCTTTTTTGCACCGCATGTGAGCTTACAGTGGGTGGGCAGGTTGGGGGGGGGGAGAGGGGATGGGGAGAGGAGAAGTGCGCTGAGAGACCAGTACACGTGCATTTTTTAGGTGCCTAAAATCTAGACCGGTAACGTGTGCGTTGTTTAGGCGCCTAAAAAAGAGACGGGTACACGTGTGCATGAGATGCCTGCATTTCTGTGCATTCTCTTGTTGCTTCGCTGCCCTCTGCTGCCCCCTGCTGCCCCCTCTAAGGGAGCGGCTACACCGCGATGCATGCATGAATGGACATCGGAGCAAAGCTCGCCAGCGCACCAGTCTCATTAGAATTATAGCTCGACTGTCACCTGATGCAAGCCCCTTGCCAGAAGCGTCCTGCTAATGTGTGTGAACCTTCCTCTGTGTGCAGGCGACATGTCCCAGCTGCCATCCCTTCCCGCTGCCAACCAGTCCCAGCCGGCAGCAGCACCGCCTGCAGCCGAGCAGCCCAAGTCAGGGCTTTCGGTGGGCGCCGTCATTGCGACCGTGGCTGCTGTCCTTGCGGCTGCTGCCGCCCTCGCTGCCGTGCTCTACTACTGCTGCTTCCACAGGGGGGGCAGGCGCACCGGCTCAGGTTCGTTCATATGTACCTCGGCTCATCGGTCTTTAGATCCTCGAGGGATGCTGATGAACTGTGCAGGGCGTTTTATGCTTCCCACAAGCCTGTCTTGTCAGACCACTGGTTTATAAGAGCCGTTGGATGCCCACAAGTAACTTTGGATGGGTGCTCATCCGAATGAAGTACCTGGCACCTGCTGCTTCGACCCACCCCCCTCTGCTTCCCCTTTCCTCTCTCACCCGTTCGTCCTCCCTGCAGCCTTGCTAAGCAGCAAGGCGGCCTCCCAGGCATGCCAGGAGTACCCGCTGCGGCAGGTGGTTAAGGCCACCAACGGGTGGTCCGAGGCGAACCTGCTTGGCGCGGGCGCCTTTGGCGACGTGTACAGCGCCGTCTCTCCGGCTGATGGCGCCACACTGTGGGCCGTGAAGCGAGCCAAGATCATCACCAACGACTTTGACACCGAGGTGAGTTGTGGTGTGATGTGGTGCGGTGTGGTGCGGTGCGGTGTGGTGTGGTATAGTGTGTTGGATTATGTTGTGGTGTGGTGTGGTGTGATGTGGTTTGGTGTGTTGTGTTGTGTTGCGGGGTGGTGTGTTGTGCTGCAGGCTGATGCGGTGTGGTGTGGTGTGGTGTGGTGTGGTGGTGTCGTGTCGTGTCGTGACGCGGGGTGTGTTGTGCTGTGGTGTGATGCAGTGGTGTGGTGTGATGCAGTGGTGTGGTGTGATGCAGTGGTGTGGTGTGATGCAGTGGTGTGGTGTGATGCAGTGGTGTGGTGTGTTGTAATGTTCTTCTTGGCTGTGCTGTGGTGCTCTTGGCATCACGTCGTCAGTGCAGCCTGAATGTTTACGGACAAAAAAACGTTGCAATAATTGCATAGAGATCCTGGGTTCATGTTCACAGACCCACGCCCGCGGGTCCGCGTGTCCGGTGGGGTGTGTTGCGTTGTCCAGCGCTGTCCAGGCTCCGCTTTTTAATAGTTTTTCTTTTCATTGTTATTGCATTGTTTGTCCTTGTTTTCACGTTCTTTTTCTCTGTGCTACCATCCTCCACTCAACTAATTCTCCCACGTTCTGCATACTAGATGACACTTGAAGACCTTCGTGTGAAGCTCCCTTTAGAAGGAAAAAAAGATGCCAACAGCTCATCACAGTGTTTCATATCTAGTCCAGGATTGTGATTGCCAGGTGTCGATTGTGATTGCCAGGTGTCGGTTGTGATTGCCTGGTGTCGATTGTGATTGCCAGGTGTCGGTTGTGATTGCCAGGTGTCGATTGTGATTGCCTGGTGTCGGTTGTGATTGCCAGGTGTAGATTGTGATTGCCAGGTGTCGATTGTGATTGCCAGGTGTCGATTGTGATTGCCAGGTGTCGATTGTGATTGCCAGGTGTTGGTTGTGATTGCCTGGTGTCGATTGTGATTGCCAGGTGTCGGTTGTGATTGCCAGGTGTGTCAGAAACACCACCAGAGTGTGTTCTACTTGCTCCACCAATGCCCCTTGGCAGGTGTGCCAGATGGCCACGAAGCACCACCCCAACCTTGTGCGGCTGCTGGGCTTCTCCATTGGGATTACCAACAAGACAAGGGTGGAGCAAGTTCTCATCTATGAGTTCATGCCCCATGGGGACCTGCAGCACTGGATTGGAAAAGGTGCGATCTAGGACAATTGCAATGGCTGGGAAAGGTGCGATCTCGGACAAGTGCAATGGCTGGGAAAGGTGCGATCTAGGACAAGTGCAATGGCCGGGAAAGGTGCGATCTTGGACAAGTGCAGTGGGTTTCTGAGGGGGGTCACAATGTAGGTGATGTGAGTTCCTGTGTTCAGGCAGAGCAGGGCCAAGTGCAGCGCCAAGGATCAAGGGTCACATTCGCCTGCTCAAATGCAGCTCTCTCTCACTCCTCGCCATTTCGACACTTGCCTTGCGCCACTCGTCATCACAATCTCGCTCATTGTCTTACTTCCTCTACGAACCCCCTTCCTGAATCCAGAGTTCTCCACATTCCAATCCACCACCCCATCCCCCTCCCATCTGCCCTCCAGCTGCTCCCGTACCGCTGAGCTTCCAGCAGCGGGTGGACATCCTCATGGGGGCGGCACGGGGCTTCGAGTACCTCCACAGCTTTGGCATCGTGCATCGCGACATCAAGCCAGCCAACATCCTGCTAGACCAGAACATGCAGGCAAGTGAACCTTCGTTGCCAATGCAGCTTCCCGCTCTCTTATACCAACATCCTGCCCGAGAAGAACATATGGATCTGTTGCCAGTGTGCTGCCTGCTGTCGATCATTTCCTTGCTGCATCGGTTCTGTGCAATCGAGCGCACACAACGGTACATGTACGTGGAGCTATATGTGCACGAAAGAAAATGGCAAGGTATCTCCATTTAGCATGTTACTGTAGTCATTCATCCGTGCTCGCATCCATTGAACTCCATGTGTGTGGGTGCAGGCTAAGATCTCGGACTTTGGGCTAGTGAGGATGGGAGAGGGCACCACAGTTCGGAGTACTCGGGTGGTGGGAACACCGGGCTATGTGGACCCCTCGTATGCTGCATCCAATAAAGCCACCACCGCCACCGATGTCTACAGGTGAGCAACGGTCTCGCAATACGTCCGAGCATTTCCCGTGAGGCATGCTCAGGAATCATTCTTAGGAATCAGCAGAGAGCTTTGATCTCTGTCAATTGGTTTCGACTACCCCTAACCTAAATCCTTCTCTTGCTCTTGCCTCCACCGTTTCACTATTCACCTGCATGTGCAGCTTTGGCGTCCTCATTCTTGAGCTGATGACGGGGCGGCCGGCTGTTGAGGGATCGCTCACCATTTCCTCTGATGAGGAGTCCAACCTCCCTGTGAACATCGTATCCTGGGTGAGCCGTTCTTCACCTTTCTTCACCTCGCACTTCTCCGACAGCTGTCCGTCTCTTCATGGTCTCAAGTCCGTCACCCCTGGTCCTGGACATCTCTAGTGTATGTTTCCAATACTCCTCCCCACCTCCAACTCAGCCTTCCCAAATCCTGTTTACTTGCCGTGCCATCATGCCTCCAGGTGAAGCAGCAGCTCGCCCCGGCCAGCACCGCCCCAGCCCCGGTGGTTGCGAGCCTCAAGGACGCGCGTATGGAGGCGCAGGATGTCTTGGTGCTGAGGGTGCTGCAGCTGGCGCTGCGGTGCACCGCCAAGCACAGCGCGGCGCGGCCGACCATGGGGGCCATTGCAGCAGAGCTGGAGTCGGTGATGGGCGAGCTGGGCGGGTGCAGGAGGAACACGGCGGCGGAAGCAGTGGACAGACAGATGCGAGAGTGCACACTGGTAGGAAGCATGGAAGACGAGCTTACTCGCTTGGGTGTTGCATTCCAAGGCAGCAAATTTACGGCATACACTCAGCTTTAGGCCCTAGGTAGGAATTAATCTGGAATGGGCGTATTCGGATACCCCATAAACGTTCTCGGCTGTTGTAGCACGAGTTGCAATGTTGACTAGGTGCTACAGTACCTGCCTTCGCCTCAGGGCTTGGAACAAATTTCACACCAGTGGAAGTGCCCGCCAAGGGCGAACCTGCACGATCTGAGCAAATAGAATGATCTAAGGGCGTGTCACTAAAGTAGGTGCCCTGTATCAGAATTGGAATTGAATTGATTGGTAAAGCGAGAGTACACACAAATATACCTAAGTGTTGTACCCTCTAAGAGGTAACCCTATACAGTCTATACAAACATGACAAATACAGATGTTTGACACACCCCCTAGACTGCATAGGGGAATACCCTAAACAAGCAGCTCAGGGCGGCACTACTAGTCCAACCTCTGAGACAAGGGTCTGAGAGACCAGTCAGAAGGAGTACAGACAAGGCAAGAACAAGACCAGGGCGGCACTACTAGTCCAGCCACTGGGAGAGGACACAAGTCCAGTCTGAGTATACATATAAAGGACAGTACAAGTCAAGGTCCTAGCAAGTGAGAAGCGACAGGAACTAGACCAAGCTGTACACAGTGCCGCTGATGATCTTTAGGCGCAAGCGCCTTCGTAAAGATATCAGCTGTGTTGGCACCTGAGGCCAAGTGTACTACGCGAGCCTGACGTCGCTGCTGTAGCTCACGCAGGAGGAAGTACCGCAGCTGAATGTGCTTCGCTCTGCCCTCGAGTCGAGGCTCCTGACACAGGAGGATCATGGCCCTGTTGTCAGCGAACAGGACCGGGGCAGAGCTAGGCCGCTCACCTAAGTCAGTGAGCAAGAAGGTCAGCCAGCGGAGCTCCTGTGCCGCCATGGCACCAGCGTAGATCTCAGCCTCACAGCTGGACTGCGCCACAGACGAGGAGCGGGTAGCTCTCCACGAGACGGCACCTGAGCCAAGGCTGAAGCAGTAGCCCTCTGTTGACCTGAGGATCTCGGCGTCGTCTGCCCACGAAGCGTCTGTGTGTCCACTAAGGAACACTGGCCTGCGTCCTCCAAGCACTAACCCCATGCCCGATGTACTAGCAAGATAACGCAGAACCCTCTTAGCGGCAGACCAGTGCTGCGGTCGGTGTCTGCCTGTGGCCACAAAGCGCGCCAGGATGCTGAGAGGGTATGCGAGATCTGGGCGAGTGCAAGTCATCAGGTACATGAGGCAACCCACCAGCTCTGCGTAGGGGCCACTGGGCTCTACCACCTCCTCAGGTACTGGAGCGGAGAGTCTGTGGTCTACAGGCAGAGGGGTGGGCTGTGCAGAGGAGAACTGAAGGCTGAACCTCTGAAGGACCTGGCGCACCAAGTGTGACTGAGTCAGGGTGATGGTGCGCGCAGCTCTGTCCCTGGAGATCTGCAAGCCAAGGTAACGGCGCAGTTCTCCAAGGTCAGTGCAGGTGTGTCTCTTCAGCAGCTCTGCCTTCACGGAGGCCAGTGCGTCCCTGTCTGCCGTGGCAAAGACCAGGTCGTCGACGTAAACAAGGATGTAGAACGGAGTCTGGCCAGCACGAACGAAGAGTGAAGGGTCTGCGGAAGACGGAAAGAACTGCAGGTCAGCAAGGGTAGCACGAAGAGTGTCATGCCACTCACGGGGAGCCTGGCGCAGGCCGTAGACGGGGCGCCGCAGGAGCCACTGGGTACTAGGAGGGAAGGTGCCAGTAAAGCCCGGAGGGCGACGCAGGTAGACCTGCTCGTGTAGGCTGCCCTGAAGGAAGGCAGTGGAGAAGTCGAGGGAGTGAAGCTCGTAGTCACGCTGAGCAGCTAGGTGTAACAGAACCCGAAGAGTAGTCATCTTCGGGGTCGGAGCGAAAGTCTGGAAGAAGTCCACCCCCTCGCGCTGACTGAAGCCTCTAGCCACATAGCGCGCCTTGAAGACAGGCGGCTCTCCAGGAGGGCGCTTCACCTTGAAGAGCCAGCGGCCATCGACTACGTTCACCCCAGGTGGGGGAACTGCGTCGACGAAGGTGCCGGTGGATCTCCAAGATGCCATCTCCTGCTCCATGGCAGCTATCCACTGTGAGGCCCAGGGTCCCGAAGTCGCCTCAGCGTAAGTGCGAGGGGTCGGGATGTCGAAAGCGTCTGGGTCACCCTCAGGGACTAGCAGCATGGAACAGAGATGGGGAGCAGCCTCGGAGAGGAAAGCAAGCTCGAACTGGCGGTCCTCCAGGACGTCACTGCCAAGGGCAGGAGCACCCCCGACAGACGGAGGACAGGCAGGGTCAGAGACCAGAGCGGTGGCGTAGTCAAGGCGGCGGGTAGAGGCGAAGTCAGCGACAGCAGCGACAAGAGCGTCAAGGCACGAGACCGGAACAGACGGGTCGGTAACGAGAGAGGCAAGGACCCGAGGAACGAGAGGACGAGCGGCACGAAGGTAGTCGGACAGCGGGGGGGGGCGCAACAACAAGGGAGGACGGAGGAGGCGACGGGAGAAGGGGAGGACGAGACGCGTGGGAACGAAGCAACATAGGGTGGGAGCGCAAGACAGGCAAGGCCGGACGAGCACGGGAGGGGCGGTGAGACCAGACGTGCGACAGAGGAGTCGGGTCAGGAGACAGGGGAGGGGACACAGGAGGGGAACGAGGGGGGAGACGAGCCGGGGACGAGTCCGGCGGAGGGAAAACAGGGCCGTAGACAGGAAGAGGAGGAGACGGTCGGGGAGGAACCGACGCAGGGTCGGGGGACGGAAGGCCGAGCAGGCGAAGGGCGGACACCGGCGGGGACCGCTGCTGCGGCGGCACAACGGCGACACCTGGACCGCAAGCTGCTCCTCGGCGACCACCGGCACTCTCCACACCAGCACCCCCAGAGGGACCACCCCCAGGGCGACCGGGACGAGCACCCCCAGAGTCAGTGAACGGGGGCTGCGACGGCGGCGGCGGAGGCGACGGCGGCGGCGGCGGCGGCGGCGACGACGACGGCTGCAGCAACGGTAGTGGCGGTGGAGGAGGGGACTGGGGAGGGGACACCTGGGGAGGGGCGGCCGGCGAGGACTGCACAGGAGGGCCACCAGAGTCAGAAGACTCCTCAACCGGGTCCACGGACGGAAGGGGGGTGACGTGGGACACACCAGAGGGGGCGGGACGGGGAGGAGGAGGAGGAGGGGCAGGGACTACCGGGGAAGGGGTGACCAGGAACAGGGGGGGGGTAACCGGGGGACCACGGTGGGGAAAGCGGCGGTAGTAGGAGACAGACTCGTCAAAGGTGACGTCACGAGAGTGAAAGAAGCGGTGAGACGGCGGGTGGTAAAAGTGCCAGTCGGACGCGTCAAGGGGAAAACCGAGGAAGACGCAGGGAAGGGTGCGGGCAGTGAGCTTGTCCGTGCCGGAGGCACGGACGTGAGCAAGGCAGCCCCAGACGTGGAACGCAGACGCGTCACCAGGGGACCCAGTCCAAAGACGGGTCGGCGAAACCTGCGGCTGCTGAGGGTGCGGCCACAGGTTAAGCTGGTGAGAAGCGTAGCGCACAGCGAACGGCCACAGAAAATGGGGTGCACCGGCATGGATCATGGAGGTGCGAGCGACCTCCATGACCAAACCGATGCGTCGCTCAGCGACCCCATTCTGCTGTGGGGAGTCCGGTAGGGTGAACGTCTGGGTGATGCCCTCCGCACGACAAAAGCGACCAAGGACACCGGAGGCAAACTCGCCACCACGGTCTGAGTGAAGACGCAAGACAGGGAGACCGCGGTGGACACGCGCAGAGACAAGCCAGGGGATGAGAGCGCCAGGCACGTCGGCCTTGGCGCTCCAGGGGAAAGACGGTGGTGTAACGAGTGAAGTCGTCGACAAGCACAAGGAAGTAGCGCTCTCGACGCGGCCCAGGGACGGGGGCGGGGCCCCAGACGTCCAGGTGCAGGGTCTGCAGCGGTGCGGCGGTAGGGGGAAACGAGGAGGAGTGAGGGGCACGGCGAAGCCGACCCTCGACACAAGGCGTACAAGGTGGGGCTGGAGAGGAGGGAAACGCGGGGAGCGAACCTGGGAGACCAAGGACGAGACCGTGCTGAGACATGTGACGCAGACGCGGGAGCGCAGGGTGACCTAGGCGGTGGTGCCACAGGAGGGTCGGGTGAGTGAGGGAGCGACAGGAGCAGGCAGCAGCAACATGGGTAGACGCAGCCACCTGAGGGGGCGCTCCTGCCGGGGGGGTCACGGTGTCCAGAGTGAACAGGCCGGACACCGGGTCCCGGGGGAACGTGGACAGGGGGGCACCAGTGACGGCCTCGGTACAGACAGCATACCGCACGTGACCAGGGAACGTAGTGGTGACGCCAAGGTCCTGGAGGCAGCCGACACCAACTAGGTTCCTGGAGAACGAGGGGATATGCAGACCTGTAAGAGAACCCGAAGGAACCGCCGGACAGGGAAGGGTGGTGGAACTGCGGGCGACTACCGGACCGCCGGAGGGGTCAGCAAGAGAAACGGCAGCAGGAACAGGAAGCGGCGTCAGGGTGGTGGAGTCGCGGAAGAAACACCGAGAGGCGCCAGAGTCCAAGGTGAAGGAAAGCGAAGCCGAGGGGTCTGGCGACGGAACGACGGCGGAAGCACCAATCTACACAAAGCAGGGGATCCTACGCCTGATGCAGCAGGGGAGGCTAAGCTAGGCACACATACACTAGGCAACAGTGAGTAATAAGCGGGAAGCACACTAGAGTCATCAGCATACATCACATGCAGAGCAGAAACAATGGCATCCATGTCCATATCAAAAATCTGAATCTGACGACTAAGCAAACTGTGCTAGTCCGGGAGGTCTGGCGACGGGCCGAAGCGCTGACGAAAGAGGTCGTCCAGGCGACGAAAACAGCGGGGAGTGGAGTGACCGAGCTTACCGCAAACGAAGCCGCGGCGAGGACCGGTCTGGATCTGGTACTGACAACGCCCGCCGCCAGAGCCACCCCGCGGCACACCACCATGCGCCCGGCCACCGCCAGCGCCGGGCCACCCTGGCGGGAGGACACTCGTCTGCCGCGTCTGCGACGGCTGCTGCGGCTGCTCCGAAGGCTGCGACTGCGGCGGCTGCTGCGGCTGCTGCACCTGCAGGGGCGGCGACTCAGCTGAACTGGGCAGGGTCCCCTCGTCCACTCCAGCACCAGGCGACCCGACCCCACAACTACCCCCGCCCGCACCCCCGCCGCCTCCTCCGCCGCGCCCAGCCTTGGGGCGGCGGCCCTTCCCCGAACGGACCTGCGCTGCAGCAGCAGTCTCAGCCACTGCGGCAGAGCCGTCGGAGAAGGTGCACTGAGCGGGGGCACAACCCTGAAAGATAGGGACCGGCACGACACCGCTCGCCTGGGCAATGGAGCGGTGACGGGTCTCTATCACAGTCAGGGTGTCTACAAAGTCAGTGAGGGTGAGGTCTGCGGGGTGAACGCTAAGAAAGCGGTCGCGGGCGACAGCAAGGCGGTCAGGGAGGCGGGTGGCAAGCAGGTAGAGGGTAGAGGTAATGGGCGGCTGGTGGGCTCTAAGCTGGGCGTCAGTGCAGGCAGCGCGCCAGGTCTCATCTATCGAGCGCAGGTGGGCAGCGAGGTCAGAGACAGTGGGGAAAGATGCAAGGTCAGGAAAGAGCATCGGAAGGATCAGGCGACCCACCGAGGCAGCCGGAGGGGTGGAATAGCGCTGGATGACAGCATCTAAGTATGCCTGAGAAGTAGTGAGGGACCTAAAGCGAGGACGCTCGGATGGGGGAAGGGCGTTGCTAATGGCAAGCTGGGCAACAGCATCGCGAGAAAGCCAGACAGAGCGCGCACGGGCAGTGGCAGCAGTAGCCTCACGCTCAGTGGGTGTGGGGTCAGCGGGCAGAATAGCAGGGGGGTCTGGGCAGGGGAGCGTACCGTCAAGGTGTGCGGAAAGCGGTTCACCATCCTGCCGCTGGCCAGTGAGTTGACGGCGGAGGTCGGCAAGCCACGCCTCGAACTCTAGGGGCTGACCTTCAGCGTCGAAGCGAAGCTCCGCCGCCATCAGGAACAGTCCAGTGCAGTGCAGGGCAGTGCAGTGCGGTGCAGTGCGGTGCAGTGCGGTGCAGTGCGGTGCAGTGCGGTACAGTGCGGTGCAGTGCGGTGCAGTGCGGTACAGTGCAGTGCAGTGCGGTGTAGTGCGGTGTAGTGCGGTGCCAGGCAGTACAGTGTGGTGCGGGCCGGCACGGAGCAGGGCGGGGGTGGGGGGGAACCGTACCCAGTGAGGAGGACGGGGCCGGGGCTGGCCCGACGGGGGCCGGGCGGGCGCGACGGGGCCGGGCTGGTGCGACAGGGCCGGGACGGGGCGACGGGCCGAGCGGGCGCGACGGGGCCGGGCTGGGGCGACGGGGCCGGGCGAGTGCGGCAGGGGCCGGGCCGGTGCAACGGGCCGGGCGAGCGGGACGGTGGCCGGGCGGGTGCGACGGGGGCCGGGCGGCTGCGACAGGGCCGGGCAGGGTGGGACGGGGCCGGGCGGGGGCGACGGGCCGGACGGCTGCGACGGGGCCAGCAAGGGCGACGAGGCCAGGCGGCTGCGACGGGGCCGGGCGGGCGCGACGGGGCCAGGCGGCTGCACGGGGCCGGGCGGGGCTGCGACGGCGCCGGGCCGGGCGCGACAGGGCCGGGCGGCTGCGACGGCGCCGGGGGGGGGGGGGCCTGCCGCGCGGGCGGGCGGGGGCGACGGGCGGCCTCGAGGGCCGCAACGGGGCCCAGGGGGCGCGACAGAGGCCCAGGAGGGGGCGCTACGGGGCCTGGGCGGAGCGCGACGAGGCCCAGGAGGGGCGCTAGGGGGCCTGGGAGGAGCGCGACGGGCCTGGGGGGCGCGACGGGGCCTGGGAGGGGCGTTACAGGGCCCAGGAGGGGCGCTACGAAGCCCAGGAGGGGCGCGACGAGGCCCAGGAGGGGCGCTACGGGGCCAGGAGGGGGCGCGAGGGCCTACGGGGCCTGGGAGGAGCGCGACGGGGCCCAGGAGGGGCGCTAGGGGGCCTGGGAGGAGCGCGACGGGGCCTGGGAGGGGCGCGACGGGGCCTGGGAGGGGCGTTACAGGGCCCAGGAGGGGCGCTACGAAGCCAGGAGGGCGCGACGAGGCCCAGGAGGGGGCGCTACGGGGCCCAGGAGGGGCGCGACGGGGCGCTACGGGGCCTGGGAGGAGCGCCACGGGGCCCAGGAGGGGGCGCTAGGGGGCCTGGGAGGAGCGCGACGGGGCCTGGGAGGGGCGCTAGGGCGGGGGGCCGGGAGGAGGGGCGTACGGGGGGAGGGGGGGCCAGGGGGGGGGGGCGACGGGCAGGGGGCCTGGGGGGGAGCGCGACGGGGCCTGGGAGGGGCACTAGAGGGCATGAGCGGAAGCGGTAGGTGGGGGGGATCCTACCTACGCGTGATACCATATCAGAATTGGAATTGAATTGATTGGTAAAGCGAGAGTACACACAAATATACCTAAGTGTTGTACCCTCTAAGAGGTAACCCTATACAGTCTATACAAACATGACAAATACAGATGTTTGACAGCTAGGTGACAGGGCCGCGGAGCCAGCGGGGCAGCTAGGCGCTGGGTGACGGGGCGACGAGGCCACAGGCGGCTAGGCGCTAGGGAACAGGGCCGCGGGGCCTGCAAGGCAACGGGCAACGGGGCCCTTGGGCGGCTAGGCACTAGACGACGGGGCAGGACAGGACCTAAGGCGGAAGCGCGGGTGGGCGGGGGGACCTAACCTACTCATGATACCATCTTCAATGTTAGAAGTGTTGAATAGAATGAGTATCAAGGGTATATAGTAGTGGGTTGTACTCTCTATGGCAAGACCCTATAGTCTACTAAACTTACACAAATATGTTTGACAGGTGGAGCTAAAAACTAGATGGATGAGCCAAACCAGAGCTAGCTAGCAGTACATGCCATGGTAACCAAGCATACCTTTGCCCACAGTCTGGCTGGGAAGCTGATGCCCACACAATGCCAGGAGCTCAGACTTCAAAGGGAACACACATTGTGCACACATGGAAGTCTAGAAGCGGAAGTGCTTAGGATCGTCCAGCACCGACTGGCATCGTTCGCCAGTCGCATGAGTACGTCTCTTCCCACTTCCTGCACTTATTATCCCTTGGATCCGCTATCGTCACATTCCACAACCTCGGATCCTCCCCAATTAGCTCCATCTTCTTCATAGAGGGCGCGCAGTGCAGCCTTGGTCCACGTGGGCAGCCAGCACTGCTGCTGCTCCTCGTCGCTCATCTCATCGTGCACCTTCCACCACATGTCAAACGCCAGGTCGTCCGCAAACTGCCGCTCCTTGCTCAGCAGGTTGCAGTCGAAGTCGCGGTAGCAGTACCACGGCTTGGCGCCTAAGTAGTGAACCATGTCCACGATGGGCGGCTGTGCGGATAGTGTGGCGCGGCGCTGCGCGAGGTGCTCAGGTCGTTGGACCACACGAACTTGAGGAAGTTGGTTGCGCGTGGCAGGCGGTGCACCACGGGTACAGCTCATTCAACAGACCCTGGATGGGGAAGGGGTGGATGAGGGGGGTTGGGGGGTGGGGAGAGGAGAGAGGGCGAGACAGGAGTTGTGAGAGTTGCAAGTGAGTTAGAAGGGGGAGTCAAAGGAAAAAAAATTGGACGAGGGGGGAGAATGTGTGTGTAGAGAAAGAGAGAGGGGGGGTAGGAAGGGAGAGAGACAGTGAGGGTGAGAAAGAGGGACTGAGGTGGGGTGCTTTCGTCTTCCGCTATTGCCTGGCTGCTTGCCTGTACTGGCCACCACCACATTAATGTAAAAGCCCGTTTTTCTGAGAGAGCAAGGTGGGGAGAGAGCACTGTTTGTGGCACCGAACTTGAGGAACACACCGACACAGCATCAGGCAGAACACAACCCAACCTCTCTCCAAGACACCAACACCACACAACCCCCCTCCCCATCAGCACCCCGCCGCGCGCACCTGCTCGCAGTCCACTATACGTTTCGAAGAGCGCGAGCGCGTCCTTGAGCATGCTGAAGGTGCAGGGTTCTGGGTCGACGACGAGCAGCCCGCCGTTGAACTGAAACTGGTTGTTGGCGACGGCGGTGAGCTCGGGCATGGCGAAGAGGTGGTCCAGGTTGCGCAGCACCAGCATGTCCGTGTCCAGGAAGACAAGCTTGCTGTACGCCGAGAACTGCCACAGCCGCAGCTTGCTGCACGCCACGCAAGAGCAGGAGCACGAGGGGAGCGCAAGCACAATGAGGGTGAGGGTGGTTGATGGTGGACGGGGGGAGGAGGGGGACGGGGGATGAGGGTTTGGGTGGTTGAGGGTGGAAGGGGGGGGGAGGGACAAGGGGAATGCTGAGCGAAGAGGGGAGAGCCAGGATGGGAGATTAAAGCAATTTAACAGCCTGCAGGATGCAGCGAGCTTCTAATAATCATGGACCGCATATCCCCTCATCCCCCTCCCTCCTCCCCTTCTCCCTCGCGCTTCTACTCCTCACCCTCCCCACAACCAGGCACCCATCCCACCCCCCCACTGCATGTGCTAACGCTCTTAACCAGTCATGCCTTCCCTCCCCGAAAACACCCGCACAACCTTTCCTCTCTCACTTACTCGTAGCTTCCGCGCCCCCGCGCTTGGTGGTGCCCCTCACCTGTGGTTCCACTTGCAGTAGTTGCTGCTGGCCTTGAAGCTGCTGCGCATGCGCCCGATGGCCACCACCTCCACCCCGCCAGCTTGAGGCTGCGCTGCGCGCGCTGCGATACCTCCTTCGACACGAACGCCACCAGCTCGTGCCGCGTGCCCACGCGCCGCAGGCTCCGCGCCAGCGCGAGCGCGCCGCAGATGTACTTGTCGCTCGAGTGCAGCACCGTCGCCACGCCTGCTTCTTCATGCTCGCCGCTGGCGTCTCTGCGGGGGCGCGCACGGGGGGGAGAGGGGGAGCATGGGGAACGGGGGAGATTGTAAGAACCGAGGGGGAAACACGGGTGTCGGGAGAGGGATAGGAAGTTGTAGGAAGAAAGATGCTAGTAGTAGCAGCTCAGGAATGAAACTGCCGCAGAATTGGCGCGAGCAGCTCACCGATGCCAGCGGAAGGGGGGAGGCGGGGCGGCGTGGGGTAGAGCTGGCAGGTGCCGACGGGCGCGTTCCGCAGGCGCGCGCGCATGGCGGGGGGGATGGCGAAGAGCCAGGACCCCGCGAGGGATGCGACGAGGTGGCGGCAGTGGAAGATGCTGGGCGGCGGCAGGCAATGCGTCAGCAGCAGCACGGGAAGTCCGTGGCTTGCGCCTGGGGGGATGAGGGGGGGACCGGGGTGGAGGGGGCGGGGAAGGAGGGGGAGAGGGGAGAGATGCTCGAGTGAGACAATGTGCGTATGTGGGCGGCGGAGTGAGTGAGAGAGAGACGTGAGAGGGGAGGGAGAGGGGAGAGGGGGGGTGATGGAGGAAAGGGGATAGAGGGGGAAGGTGCTATGGAGGTAAGGGGGAAAGGAAGAGAGTGATGGTGAGAGGGAGAGAACAGTGGGCGGCATTTGATATTCGTCAGTATACATACTCATCATACATCGTCAGTACACGGGGGGGAGGAAGGTGCCCTTCCCATACTCGCACCGCTCGGTTCCATATTTCGTTCGTCTCCGTTTCTTTTTCCGTCTCCCCTCGCTCCCTCTCCCTCTCCTCCCCTCCCCCTCTCCCTCTACCTCTCTACTCCGCCCTCTCCCCCGTCCCCCGTCTCACCTGAGCAGCGAGGCCCGACGCGGCGAGCAGCAGCAGGTGGTGGCGCGCCACGTCTCTGGCCCACGACGCGTTCAGCACGGACAGCCCCTCGCACGGCACGCGCACGATCAGCGCGTCCACCTCATGCTCCTCCCGCACGCGCCACGCCGCGCCATCCCCTCCCCCCCTCCCCGCTATCCCCATCCCCCGCCTCGTCTTCAGCGCTCGTTTCGTCATCCCCGTTAATGTCGTCGTCGCTATCAGGCCACATGACGGTGCCGTTCCCCGGGCCCGCCACCGCGGCCAGGGCAGCGCGGGCACGGCTTCGGGCGCTCCTCGTCGATCCACTCGGGGAAGAGCTCCGCCCATTTCAAATCCGCGCGGGGTGCGGAGAACGGTAGCGGGCGGAACACCGCCTTGGGAACTGCGCGCGCGCGCGGTTCAAGTCCGCCGCGCCGAGGTTCACCAGTCCCAGACGCACCTTGTCCGCGCGGCGGCTGGCGGGGGCGGACTCGTCGCGCAGCATGCGCTTCTTCCGCTTGGACAGCCACTTGCGCAGCGCCTGGAAGCCGTCTTGCGGCTCCGAGGTCTTGGTAGGGCGCGCGGGGACGAGCATCGTCGATGACTTGGAGCGGCCACCGGCGGAGGTGGTGTTGGCGGCGATGACGTCGAACTGCAGAATGTTGCGCAGCGCCACTGCTCGCCGCGTGCCGGGCTTGGGGAGTTTGCCGAGAATCACGGGCGAGCGGTACACGGCAGGCTCATCTGGGGGAGGAACGTCCCCTCGGGCGGCGCGACAGCATCGTCCGCTGCACCACCCGCTTCCTCGCTATCACCCTCCTTTTGCTGCTCCACCACGTGCCCGTCCCCGCCCGTCCCTCTTTCCGCCTCTACATCAGACTCTGCCTCTGTCTCTTCTCCCGTTGTCGCTGCTGCCGCCTCGCCCCCCACAACACCGTTACCAGCGTCGCCCTGAATCCGTCCTACGCCCCCGCCATCTGCGCGCCTCTCCGTACCATCATCTGCCGCTCGCGCCGACGCCGCGGCATCCGCTTCCCGCGCGTTACCCGCCGACTCACCGTTGCCGTCGGCCGCGCCTTTCACCGGCCGCCGCGGCTTCCCGAGCTGTCGGAGACTTAGAGCAATAGCGAGCTGATCCGCCGATAGCGCGTTTATATCGCGCCCGTCACCTCCGCCTCTTGCGCCCGCGCCGTCGAGCGCGGAGCTCTCCATGCGCGACGAGGGGGGCTGGATGGCGAGGAGCGCGCTCCGGAACGACAGCCCCAGCGACCAGAGCGCCACGGCGCTGCCGGCGACGATTAGCGTCAGCACGACAGCCGCTCGAAGCAGGTTGGGCTTCATGCCGAAGCGCGCCTTGTAGGACGGGGATTTAGGGAAGTACGGGTGGAGTGGGCTTCGGCGTTGTGATGCTGCTGCGGCTGTTGCCGCTTGGAGCCCGGTCGGATTGTAACGTGGGAGGTTTCGAGCGGGAGCGGGCTCGATTCCTCCGGCCGGCACGAGTCTCTCCGCCGTTCGACCATGGCGAGCTCTACTTGGAGCGGCAGGCAAAGCTTGTGCGGCTGGAGTGAAGCGGCCACACGGCGTTGCCAAAAGGTGGGACCTTGCGAGCAGTACTCGGATTGGGAAGTGAAAGATGCCCTGAATTATTAGCTGTCTTCGGAAGCTCTTTCCCTCGAATGTGTGGGTGGGGCCTTGCTCGTTTAGCGTCTAGTACGAAGGGGAAACCGGCCGAGATGTTCAAGGGGATATGCGTGCTGCTGAGGGGCGAATTCTTTCTTTCTCGCAGTCTGTTCTTGATTTCTTGGCTCCTCGTCACCTGAAAAGCGCCCTGCTGCATAGTCCTCCTATCCGCCCCCACCTCTCCTTATAAGAGCACTGACCTCCAATACGGTCGGTGAAGTTGCTCACCGCCACGAGCTGTATCAGAATTTGCTTGGCCAATCAGTCGTGCGTGAGCAAAGCAAGTACTGTAGCTTCGCGTGCCGTCGACTCGACACGGCGCTTATCTGGCCGGGCAGCTGTAAGAAGCGGACGACTGCCGCGACACCACAACAGAACAGTGCTGGGCATGAGCTGAAAATATGCCCTTCCGATTTGAGGTGTGGAGGTCGGGTCAGGGAGGGGCACTTGGTCAACAAGGTGTCATAGTTCCCATTGAATAATTTGTTTCTCCTCGCAACCCAAGGACCTGGCGCTGGTGAGCTCCCATTCGCAAGCGACGTGGTAAAGTTGCGACGTGGCGGATACCTCCAGCCTAGCGCCTCTGCAATACGTGTGCGACGCGGTCCAGCTTGTGGAGAGGAGTAGTTTGCCTTGGGGCAGCTTCCCCGCATCACACGACGCAGGCGTTCAGTTCAGAACACACGCTGGGGCCCGAAATGTTTCAGAAGGGGCTCGGCTTGGAACAGTGGCCTGCCCAACCCCAAAGGAATGGGCTAGGCTATTTTCGGCCAATAGGAAAGCGCCACCCACCTCCTCGTAACGCAACTCACGGGCCAAAGGGTTGAACTTGACATGGAAGATTTGCAGTGTGTGGAAGAATGAAGAAAATAAAGGGGTGTCCATAGTGAATTTCGACATCCAACGACATCCGTTGGCGAATGACGAGGAACGTCAACCATAGATTCTTTCCGATCGATGGTTTAAATCCCTCGACATCCCCCAACGGTTGTCGTCGGATGTCAAAATTAACCTTGGACACTCCCTACGGGCGTGTCTCATTTTCACGAACAGCTTCCGAGCCGAACATTCACCTCATTGTACCACGTCAAATCAAGCACGTCATACCTGCTAGGGAAAGGGGCCTTTTGTTTCTAATCATTCTCGTATTCTAACATGGTATCATAGTAGGTTAGGTCCGTCCACCCGCTTCCGCCCCTCGCCTAGCCTACCGCCCTGTCGTACCCTAGCCTACCGTGCCCCGCCGGCCCCAAACGCGCTAACCGGCCCCTAGCGCACCTCGTTGCCCCTAGCGTGCTAGCCGGCCCTTAGCGCCCGTCGGCCCCTCGCGCCCAGCCGGCCCGTAGCGCGCCGTGCCGGCCTCGCGTGCCTAGCCGGCCCCTCGTACCTAGCCGGCCCATCTAGCCTAGCCGGCCCTTCGCGCCTAGCCGGCCCCTCTCCCATAGCCGACCCCGTGCCTAGCCGGCCCCTCGTGCCTAGCCAGCCCTGCTCGCCTAGCCGGCCCCTCTCACGTAGCCGACCCCGTGCCTAGCTGGCCCCTCGCCCAGTCGGCCCCCGCGCCTAGCCGGCCCTGCGCCTAGCCGGCCCCTTGCCCTAGCCGGCCCCGCGCTAGCCGACCCCACGCCCAGCCGACCCCTCGCATAGCCGACGCCCGCGCACGCCGCGACGACCCCTTGCGCCGTGCCGGCCCCTCGAGCTAGCCGGCCCCTCTCGTGCACCGTCGGACCCTCGTACCTAGTCGGCCCCTCTCTACGCGCCGGCCCCTCCCGCACCTGCTCGGCCTTTTGCGCACCTCGCCGGCCCCTCGTGCGCCTCGGCTCCTCGAGCGCCCACCAGCCCTCCCGCACCACTAGACCCCCCGCACTTTGCCGACCCTTTGCGCCCTGCCTGCTCTGCACGCCTCGGGCCCTGCGCGCCTCGGGCCCTGCGCCCCTTGGGCCCTCCTCTGCCTCCCGCGCGGTCTCCTCGCCGGAGAGTCCTGCCGCCACGCCACTATGCCGCCGTGCCGCTGAGTACCTGTGCCGCTATGTCGCCATTTCCCTATGCCGCTGTGTCCTATGCCGATGCACCGCGCTGTGCCTACGTGTACCTGTGCTGCTGAAGCTGCACGATGGTGGACGCCGTACTTCGCTTGGACGCGGAGGGGCATGCGATTGACTTCGCCGCCTGGCTTGTCGATCTTCGCTGGCACCTGACAGGTCAGCGCCAGGATGGGCACTCCCTGGCTATGCATGTTGATGGCTTGCTTCCCCGCCCCCCGCGCCTAATCCCCTTCCTGCTGACTCCACCACTGCTGAGAGTAAGGCATTTGCTGCTGCTGCGCGCTCGCTCGCGCTGTCAGGGATTCTCGCAATGCTGTAGTGCAGCTCGCCATTAGTCATGCACTTCCCCTGTCTGAGCGTCCGCGCTTCATTGTTGTCGCGAAAGCCGACTTTATAGATGTCGTGGTTGCGCGCTACTCCAACCCGCCTCCTCCTCCGCTGGCCGCTTAATCCTCCCATGCTATTCCCGATCTTTCCGCCTTCCCCACTGTCGCTGGCCTCGCTACTCACCTCCGTGCACTAGAGACTAGCTTCCGCGCTGCTAGCACTGCCGCCCAGCTCACTGCCTTCCCCCACTCTTCTGTGCTACCCTGCACCTTATTGCCATGCGCTTGCCTGACCGCTTAGCCACTGCCCGTGACCACTTCCTTAGCCAGCACCCCGGTGACCTCACCCTGACCGCCTTTGTCATTGCCCTTCTGAGATAAAGACTCACCACCGCACTATTGCTCACTCAAGCGGTGTTGCGGCGGTCCCTATCTTTCAGGGTTGTGCTCCCTCCCAATGCACGTACGCTGACATTTCCGCCGCCGTCGCTACAGTTGCTCCTACCACTGAGACCGCAACGGCGGCCTTCCCGCAGCAGCACCGACAGCGTCGGGGCCGCCGCGGCCCCAAGGGAGGGCATGGTGGTGGTGCTGGTGGAGGAGGTGGTGGGGTGGAGACAGTGGTTCTGACGAGGGGGCTCGGGCAGGTGTGTAGGAGCAGCAGCAGCGGCAGCAGACGCAGCAGCAGCAGTCGAGCGCACGAGCAACGCAGTCGCAGCTTCGGCCCGCTGCTTCCGTGAACGACCACAGCAAAGACTTCTGCGCCCTGTGCGGCCACTCGTTTGATCGCCACAGAGTTCACCTGCATCACTCCCCTTGTGATCCCCTTCGTCCATTCTGGGAACATCATACAGCGACCATTGATTTTGATAGAACAGCTGCCGGTCGTCTTGTCAATTTTCAGATCGAAAGGTTACAGCCCATCCCTTCCCAACAACATCACGAAGCCGTCGAGTGTAGTTGCCTGCATCCCTATCGAAATTTTGAAGTCAGCTCCGCAGCAGACCCTAATCCTGTCCGCCTTGTCTTTTAATGCTAGTGGAGTCCCATCGACTTGTGAGGCGTCAATCTCTGGTAGACACCTATCTTAGGGTAACTTCATTTTTCTGGTCATGACAAGGTGATCAGGCTGTGGCTGGCTCCCCTGTCCAGGAAGATTTATTTCTTTTCCCATTGAACCCTACCCTAAAAATAAATGGGGCAATCCACCGTTGCACCCTCCTTGTGAGAGTACGACCCCGTTACACATATTTCCTTGTCCATATCTCCTTTCTATTTCATTCCTCTTTTTATCTCATCTCATTTGGTTTCCTCTTCCTCCTATTCCAATATCCTATGGGTTTATCCTGTTATTATAATTATCTCATTGACCAAGCTCGGGATGTACTGGCACGTTATATCTAGCGTAATCCTGCCATAATCCCTAAAAGCCAATAGCCTCGCGTGGCTATACGCAGGGTTATTCTATTTCTAGAAGGGTCTATTCCCTTTGGATAAACCTGGTTACCTGATGTACTTTGGAAGTATAAAAGCGCCTTGTATTAATCGATAGTGGAACTTTTCCTCGACACATTTGATCCTGTGACACTTGGTAATCAGAGCCTTTCTCACTCAGCCACGCTCAGCTAAGCAGAAGCCTCGAAAAATTGCAAGGGGCGACCAATTCGGCGCCGATTCTAGTAAGCACCAGCTCCGCGTTTTGAATTAACCCCTTCGCGCGTGTTTTGAACAGGATGGCGAACTTCGACAACGCCGAGGTTACCCAGCAGCTCTTTGCGAGCATCGCCGCCCTGCAGGAGGAGATGCGAGCTGATCGCGAAGCTCGGCGAAATGAGTTCGAGCGAGTAACTCGACTCGCCGGCGCGCAGCACGAAACGACAACGGCGACGCTGCCTGCTTCTTCTGCGACCACGCTGCGCTTACGCCGCTTGCCGCACCTGCTGCTGTCGCACTTGCTGACCCTCCTCTGGTCCTATAGTTTCTCGCAGCTACACTACCCTTCCCTATCCAGCGGTTCCCTCGGGTTCCCTCACTGGCCTACACATCCCCTCGTTCTCACGGAACTTAGTTGGTGTCGAATGTCTTCAGGACCACGCGTCGCCACTATGTTTCCGGGTCACGAGCGGTAGGCCGTCTGTACCGAGGCCGCCTCAGGTTCTCCCTTGCGACGTTCCCCCAATGTGAGAGTACGACCCGTTACACTTCTTTCTCATCTCCATCTTTTTCCTCTATCTCATTCTTCCTTTAATCCTGATTCCTTTGATATTTATCACACCCCATTTGGTTTCCTATTCCTCCTTTTCCATAATCCTTTGGTTTATCCTGTTATTATAATTATATCACCGACTAGGCTCGGGATGTACTGGCGCGCTATATCTAGCGTAATCCTGCCGTAATCCGTTAAAGCCAATAGCCTCGCGTGGCTATACGCAGGGTGAATCTATTTCTAGAAGAGTCTATTCCTTTGGATAGGTTAAACCTAGTTACCTGATGTACACTGGCGGAAAGTACTATCCACATGTTTGTGACTTAGAGGTTTTGCCATTTTAGCGGGTCATGGACATTAAGCCTTAATCTTCTGGTGTGCCTAGTGTATGTAGGTTGGGTAAGGCTCTACGCCCATGCCTTACATCACACAAGGATAATGATGTTTACAACAAATACCAGAAAATAACAATCTTGGTACATGTGGACAATTATTGCCAGGCGCAAGCAGCAAGTTACATCAACCCCTAACTAGTACCTAATCCCCGCCCTTT